CCCCAAAACCCCAAAACCCCAAAACCCCAAAACCCCAAAACCCCAAAACCCCTTGGTTATTTTATTATTGAAATAATATAATGAACACTAGGGCTTTTAACAATACGCAAATGATGAAGTCACAGAGTATGAATGACCTCCACCATGCAATCCCTCAGACACAGAAGTACAAGAGTCCCAAATGGGAGTATGAACATATGTCTGAATTTTACAAGAGTATTCCAAAACCCGCATTAGCTCTAAAGACCAGCAGCGGTACACAATCGTGTAAATAACATTGATGTAACTCCTGACCGGTATGTGCACTATAGCTCGCCTCGGTTCCAAAGAAGGGTGATTAACAACCTATCCTATGAGAACGATTACTTAAAAACAGAGCTAAGCAAGGTTTATCATAACGAAAAATAACCAATTTGAGAAGCTAAACATTCTTCGTGATTCCATTGCTAAATAACCAAGAGCTAGAGAGACAGATTGAGAGGAAGAAGATCGAAGATATGCAGAATCGAAGGAAGAACGAAGACCAAGCTATGAAGGAAATATTACAAAGGCAGAAAGATGAAATTAACCTGCTTAAAACATCAATTCTGGGTAAGCATGAGTTATTCATAACTCCTTAAGGACTACACTTTTTATTAATTTCAAAAAGTGAGTTTAATGCTTTACTACTTGAAACTTTCTGGAATTTTTCGAATTTATTCCTCCTCAATTTTTCCATTCTCACACGTTTGCATCTAGAAGAACAAGAAACAAGGCATAGGGATGACAAGAACGGCTGGATGTCTGCAATAAAAACACTCGAAGTTCAGAACAAATTAAGGAAGAACTACAATAAACGGCTTAAAAAGACACTGAAACAAATTAAAAAGCAAGAGCAACAAAAGAGAGATGCGATTGAAACAGAGTGGAAATATTTCAGTAGTATGAGGAATGTCTTTATGGGATATCCCGCTTATAATCCTTACCATAAACGCTTTTCCTAATTAAAAAATCTAATAAGTATTAGTCTATGTTTCCAAATAAATATCTTGGGGTTGACATCATCAGTCATGGCTTTTAGAGAGGAATAACTTAAAATTCAGTGCACTTATTAAGAGAGATGAGCTATTTCACCGATTTCAATAAATCCTAGGAAATCTGGGGTTTTGGGGTTTTGGGGTTTTGGGG